GAGCGGCTGGCGCCTCCGCTGCCGCCGCCGCCGCCGCCGCCGCCGGGAGCCGGCCACCTCTCCCGGCTTCGCGCGCACCAAGGGCTCCGCAAAACAGGGTTTGTCTCTCAGCTCTCCCCGCCTTTTTTTAGTTCTCATTTAAAAATCTATATCCCTAGATCCCTCTAATCCGATCCTCTCTGTACTTTACCAGAATTTCAAGCTTCAAACTAAAAACCAGCACACACTTTCGCTGTCTGCCTGCTGGAATCTGACTTCCAGACCCAACCGAGGCCGCTGACTTTTGGATTTCGGGTCCCAGGCCTGGGATAGGGAACGAGGGGTGTCAAGGACAGCCGTTTCCGTACCTGTGTGCGTCCTTTTGTGGATCTTTAAGTTCTCAGAACGGGCGAAGACCTTGCCGCAGCCAGGGAAGGGGCAGGGGAAGGGCTTCTCGCCCGTGTGCACGCGGATGTGGTTGACCAGTTTGTATTTGGCTTTGAAGGGCTTGCCCTCGCGCGGACACTCCTCCCAGAAGCAGATGTGGTTACTCTGCTCGGGTCCGCCGACGTGCTCCACTGTGACGTGCGTGACCAGCTCGTGCATGGTGCTGAAAGTTTTGTTGCACGACTTTTTAGGGTTGGCCAGCTGCTCGGGCTCGATCCACTTGCAGATGAGCTCCTGTTTGATGGGCTGGCGCATATAGCGGAAGAAGGCGCCGGCGCCGTGATGCGCGGCCATGTTCACGTTCATGGGCCCGTAGCCGTGCAGCTGCGGCGCGGCATAGTGCTCTGAACGCGGACTGGTCACCTGGCCATACTGCTCGGGCCGCGGGTACATGTCCCCCGAGAAGCCAAGCCTCATCTGCCCGTTGACCACGTTGGGCGATGCATGGCCCGCCGCCTGCTCGTGAAGGCCGGGGAAGAGGAGGTGGCCCGCGGCGTCCGTGTGGCCGTGTGGGCCCCCGAAGCCCCCGGCTGAAGCAGCGAACAGACTGTGCTGCGCGCTGGCTGCAGCCGCCGCGTCGCCAAAGCCCCGGTTGCGGAACAGGAAGTCCCGCGTGGAGTTGAAGGCTGCGCTCGAATAGGAGCCGACGTGGCCCGGATGGTGGTGATGTCCCAGGGCCGCCGCAGCCGCGTAGCCGGGAGCCTGAGACGTGAAGGCCGTCTGGCCCGCGGAGGCCAGCTCGTGCGAGCTGGGGTTGAGCTTGAAGGCACCCATGCCGTCGGCGAACGGGTTGATGCCCAGGCCCACGTCGCGCTCGGCCACGTCGCCCGCCGAGTGGTGGCGGGACGCGCCAAAGGTGGTCACGCCGATCGCGGGGTACTGGGGGCCGGCGTCCAGGAGCATCGTGGCTGCTCGGGGCGAGCCCCGGCCTCCCCCGCCCCCCCCACCCTCGCCCGCCGAGGAGGGAAAATTAGGAGGAGGAGGAGGAGGTAGTGGAGGAGGAGGAACGGGAGGCGGAGGAAGAGGAGGAAGAAGAAGAGGAGGGAGGAGGAGTCGACCCACCTCGCGAAGTCCTAGCCTGCAGGCAGCGGCGCGGCGCGCCGGGGCGCCCGCCCGGCCAAGCGCGGGGAAGCCTGACTGCTGCGGGCCGCGAGCAAGGCGGGCTCCGGCGCCCGCCGAGCAGACCCTGCCGGCCCGGCTAGCACTTTCTCGCCGCTCAGTCTCTGCCGAGAGGACCCCGCGTCAAGGCTGCCCAGGGAAAGGCATGGAGCATCTCAGCTCCCCAAAAGAACTTCCTCCCGGATTTGTAGCATAGAGGAATGTGAGCGCCGGAGCAGCGACTGCTAGCCCTCTCTCCGCCTCGCGCCGTACGCCCCTCCTCACTTCTCCACTAGCCCCTCGCCCTTTCTTTTCTCTCTCGCTCTCTCTCTCTCCTTTCTCTCAGGCTCGCCTCCTCGCTCCTTCACTCTCCTTTTTCCCCCTCTGTTTTTTGAAAAAAAAAAAAAAAAAAAAGGGGGGGGTTGGAGGGGGAGAAAAAAAAGAAAGAAAGAAAAAGCCAAAGAAAAGGCGCAAATCATGCACAATATTGTCTTTTGCGGTTTATCTTCCTGGGGAGAAACTTTCACCTCCTCAGCCGGGCGGTGAGCGCGAGACTGATAGCAGCAATCATTCCTGCAGATAAATGAATTGAAAGGACGACACCGTTCCCCCCCTTGATGAATGGGAGCAGGGGGAGGCGTCACGTGCTGCCGACGCGGGCGCCCATTGGTGTGCCCGCGCTCCCCCCGCCCGCAGCCGCCGCGCCAACGGAGGGCGCGCCGAGGCGCCGCGCGCCTTTCATTGGCCCGCCCGCCTCATCAATCCCAGGTATTGTAAAGCTCTTGACATCCCCTTTTGACAAACAGGGCTGCCAGGAGTAGCAACTTTTTTTTTTAGCCAAATTTTTCCCCTCTTCTCATGGAAAAAAATTTTGCCACGATTTCCTTTCCTTTTCGCAGTCATATACATTCTCTCTCCTCTATCCGTATCCCTGTCCCTTTCCCTCTCCATCTGTCTTTCTCTATCTTGTTCTTCTTCAGACCTGCTCTTAGCTGAGCGATTAGCGACTTCGGGCGTCTCCGAGAACAGGAGGCGGGGATGGGGCTGGTAAACACAGCTAAGGCACTTCCAGAATGTCCCGATTCAGCAACTTTCTTTTCTTTCTTTCGCTCTGTCCCCGCCTTGAAGGGCAGCAAAGGAGGCTTTTGTTATTTGCTCCTTTTGAAGTTCGCTTCCCTCTTGCTTCGTCCCCCTCCTGTTTATAATTTAAGATCTCGGGAGCACACAGGCACACACCACTTTCTCTTTACCAGAAATGTGATTTCTGAGGATAACCGGTTGCCTCGATTTTCTCACTGTTATCAAATCAGTCAGACTTCCTGCTCCCTCCTCCCCCTCAAAAATAAGCACAGGTGGATGAGAGCTCCAACTTTCCAGGTTCAGGGTTTTTTGATTTTGCGTGTGGGTTTTTTTTTTTTTTTTTTTTTTAGCAAATTGAAAACATTGTTGCCGATTTTTTTTCCCCTTTCCTGTGTTATTCTTTTCGTTTCTCCCTTTTCCCTAGTCTCCCGTTTCTGCCCCCACTAACCCCTCTCTCTGCACTCCTGTTCCCAACCCTGGCCCCTTTCATTCAGGTAAAACTGTAAATTTCCCAACACGCCATTGTTCTTCAGGACTGCCCAAAGCTCCCTAGTAATCCCCGAATACTTTTTTTGGCATTTAAATCTGCGATAGATAGGACCAAAGTATATTTTGTGACATTCAAACCTTTTCTAGTTCACAAATCAGTCACCCTTGTCACAGTTATTGAAATTCCGCAACTCACCACACCAGGACGGTGGAAAAAGCGGGCGCGGTCTTTGTTGCCGACCAGGCTTTTGATCGCCAGAGAAAATTTACTTACCTTCAGATGAGTGAGCAGAAAAAGAAATAACACTCCCTTTGATTTAGTTAGGAAAATGCAGACATTTGGATTCAGTGCAAACATACAACACTCGCTTGTTTTCGCGATGCGGCCCTCGATTAACCTGTCTTTGCCCAGCGCAAAGTCTATTCAACAACTGCGCGTAGTTGCTTTTTGTCCCGTCCACAAAGAGCCATTGACTATATATTAAAATGATTGTTGAAAGGTAGAGGAGTATGGCACTTAAAAGCAGGAAAAAAAATCCCTGTGACTCAATCAATTAAGGCGAGCAACATTTATGCATTTCAAAAAATGCATGAGGATGCGGGGGGTTGGGGGATGAAGGTTGCATTTCTCCGCAGTTCTGTTTAAAACCCAGCAGCCCAGGCCGAGGGTTTAGCTGAAGCGTCTGCATATTCATTAGGTCTAATTATTTTCTAGTAAGGAAAACACAAAAAGCCAAGAGTCGGAATCCTTCAATTTGCCCTTTGTTTCTAACTTCATTTGGCTTCTTTGCAGCTGAATCACAGCCCTAAACTCTTTTCTCAGACAAAGAGACCTCAACTCATCCTTTCACAGGCGGCCCCGTTAGGAAACTCACCAGTGCCTGGGTGAGAGGAAAATGAAAATGAACATTTTTTGCCCAGTCGCCTGTTCAGGCTGCACAGGCTGGAAGAAGGCAGGGTCAGCGTCGGCCTGTCCTCCTTTCTGGTTTTCTGGTCTTTTCATCGACTAGATTTTCGCTTGGGGCTGGCGAGCTGAGCTGCCCTTTCCCTGGGCTCTCCCTGCTCAAAACTGGACTTCTGTTAGCTAGGATGGTTTCCTGGTGTCTGAAGGAAACTGGCTGAGCATTTGCGCTTGTTGTGCTGGGAAATAGAAATTTGAGAAAGAAAAAAAATATCAAATGTTCGGTCCCCAGCAACAAGTCTGAGTGCAGCAGCCCCCGAATTCCCTGCCAGCTTTGAGTGGAACCAGGATAGGGGAATGAAGGCAAAGGGCTGGGGCTTGAGGGATGGTTTTAAAAATAACCTGTTATATACTTTGTTTTTTAAAAAGATATATCGGAGCCACTCAGAGTCTTTTCTGCTGCCTACAAGGGAAATTTGGATCCTGCCTCCACTGCAGTTGTAAAAATCTTATCTGCAAGGAGAAGCTTTCTCTAGAGGCTGTACTGCTTTCACCAGGGAGAACAAATCTTGAACCCACCTCTCCTGCCTTTCAAAAAAAAACAAGGGAGGGGACCTGAGGGAAGAAGGGTAGCCGCCCGTTGGGAGGGGGAGAGGGAAAATAATTCTTCAAAAGAGAAAAGTCAGTCCTCTCCTCTCCTGTTCGTGGAATATCCAAGGGGAACGTTGACAAGAGGGTATTTTTAGGAAACGCGTCCAAATATACAGAGTAAGAGTGAATGTGAGAAAAACAAAGTTGTGGGTTGTAGAAGTTATCAAGTGGGATTTGCGGCGCTTCTCTGCAGGAAACGCAAGCGGCTCCAGTTCAAAGCCACATGCACCAACGTGACATATAAGCCATTAAAATATCATCCTGACGGCTCATTTCTGCTTCATCATACATTCCCTAACTGCTTCCCGAAAGCTGGAAAAGGAGAAATGAAAGATGCCCGCCTCGCTGGAACCACAAAAGAGAGGCTTGGAGGGTTTTGTGGTCCCCCTCAGGCACCTCAAAGTGATGTGCAGAAATGAGGCGATCCCGGCAACAGGTGGAGTGGGGTAAGTGCGTGAGTCTGGGGGGCAGACAGACCGGACCTGTACCCCCAGCAGCGGGGTAGGAGGCACCCAAACCCCACTGGGGTAAGAGGCCCAGCTAGATTTTTCCCCCATCCCCTCCCTCCGTAGCCCCCCAACCCTGGGTACAGGCCCCACCCCGCTGACACTGAGAGGAGGAGGGGGCCCTTCCGCCGAGAGGCTACGCTGGAGATGAGTCCATCCCTCCTTCTGCGGGGCGGTGCAAGGGGGACGAATGGGGCTCCCACTGGCACGCGGACCAAGGGCAGCTTGTTGCCTGCCCGCCTTCCCTCCCCTCTTTGTAAATCGCCTGGGTGCCCCACCGTTGGCCCAAGAAGGGGAGTCGTGGCCCAGAGCTTCCCTCGCCCCGAGTGAGCTGGGCCCGCGCAGGAGGGGGCCCCTGCAGACTGCTTCTCCGTCCTGCCCCCCCGCGAGGATGGCAGGGAAAGACTCGGCTTCCCCTCTCCAGGGTCAAAGGAGCCAAGTTACCCCGGCTGGCAGCAAGATGATGGAGCTTCTCCACCGCTACCTGACTGGGGATGCCGGCTGGGTCAGCTGCGGGGCCCGCATCCTCGCCTTCGGGCAGTCTGGTCCTGCCTCAGGACACTGACCGCTGGGACCCGCTCTCTGCGCGCGGCGGGCTGTGGGTTTGGGATTTGACTTTCTTTCTCCCGGATGCGAACGAGGGCTACGACTAGCTCTCAAAGGAGAAGGCCGCAGCTACCTGGGATTCTGGCCACTACCCTAGACACATGGAGGCCCTGGAAATTAGGGACAAGTGGGGCGGGAACAGAGTCAGGCTGTGAAACAAAGCTAGAACTGCCCCAAAGGGAAAGTTTGGGGTTGATGAATGGTCCATGGGGACATCTGGGAGCCAGCAAGGTCTTTGGAATGGAGAAGGGGCGTTGGAGGGGCTGGAACTTGGCCTGCACCGTCTGCAGGAAACTCCCTTTGGATTGCAAGGTCATATTTCTACCCCTTTTCCGACAGCATTGGCCTCAGCGACCTGCGAAGAGGCACCATGTTCCCTTCCTCTGTCTGGCCGCTGGCGGTTTGTGTGTGTGTGTGGGGGGGTGTTCAAAGGGATGGTTAAATGTCCAGGCTGGTCTTTCAAGCGACCCACTAACGCAGATTCTATTCTGGGCACACGGAGGTCGCCCAGTCTTCAGCCCCCATCTGGAGGAACCTCAGCTTTTCCCTCTAGGGAACAGAAGAACTAGAAAAGGCCGTCGCACAACCCAGCCTCACAGCCCAAATTCCTGGTGTTTGAGGGCCCGATGAAGGGGAGCCAGGGAGGTTCCGGGTGCAGCTGGCGACAGCAGGCCACGGGAAGAGGCCAGAGCCGTTTTGCCTTTAGCCAGGGAGCTCCCAGACAGCCTGCAGGGCCCCTGCTCTGCACCCGCCGGGCCGAGCTGTGGCCGAGAGGCGGACGTGCCTTTGCTGGCGCTCCTGCGGCTTAATCTGTGTGGAGCAGTGGGGAAGTCTCGGGGACTGAAGTCGCTGGCTTGGGAAGCAGGCTGAAGATGACCTCTGACCTTGGGCAGGCCTGCGCCTGTTAGGGCGACCCCACAATGTGCAGGCTTGGTGTTCCCCCAAAAGAAAAATGATGTCTTTTGCCTGTACCCACTGGCCCACTTTCATAGCTCTCCCCCAGCACAATCAATTACTGAAGCTCATTGGCACCCTTTTCTGGTCTCAAGGGAAAGAAGGCAGATTCCAATAAGTCCCCAGTTTGTGCTCCTGACTGGTGATTCAGTGCCCAGGGCTGGTGTGAGGAGACAAGTCAGGAACAATCTTTCGGGGAAAACCAAGCTGAACATTTTCAGGGCTTTTATATCCCTGGGTTGGCAAGGATCTCAGGTCCAGGGGCCCAGGGGCTGCTCCTAGATTCTCTCACCCCTCCTTCAGCGAGATGACTGGCTTGCTAAGTGGGGTCAGAGTTTGAACCAAAGGAGAAGATATTTACCCGGGTTCCATGCACAGGCCGGTGATGGAGCTGCTACAGGAGCAGCTTAAGGTTGGTCCCAGTTGCCTGAAGTCCAGCCTCTGAGGCATTTGTTTGCATGCCTGTGGGTTTATAATGCACAAAAGACTGTCAGGACCTGGGGATAGAAGTGACCCAGGCCTCTTAAAGGGAGGGCTCGAGCAGCATTGTAGGTGTGGACAGAGTTCTTTAGGGAAACTCACACCCATTTCCCTCTGAAGCAAAAAAGTAAATTCTATTAGTTCCAACCAACCAGGACTTTTCCTGTGCCAGACATCCTGCCATGAGGAAATTTTAGAGCAAGGACACCCAGCACGCTGCCCTTCTGTAGGAATGCAAACTTGGGCTTTCTTTCTTTCCTGATTTGTGCGGGAAGGAGCTTATTACCTTTGGGGACAGATGCCTTTTGGTTAGAAAGAATCGAAAATAAATAAAACCCTCTGGGAAAAGGTGAGTCTAAACCCCTACTCCCACCCCTCAGGCTTGGACCCAGAAAAGAAGGGAGAGTGAAAGGTGAAAATACCTAAGCTAGTTCAAGCCTGGGTTGGCGGTTGAGGGAGAGAGAAAGAGATCTTTGAGCATAGAGAACTGGAAAGTCTTTGAGATAGCAGAGGCCCACTTGGATTTGGCCTGTGGTTCAACAAGTTAAACAACTGCTTGTTCTGTGGGCTGGAGTGTCAAGACAGGCAGACGTCCTCATTGACAGAGAGCTTGCTGTGTTTGTCCAGCCTGAGACCTTTTCAATGACTGTTTGTCTTTCTAGGCCAAATTGAGGTTTGGGGCTGGGTGAATCGCCTCTGTTTGGCTGTTCCACTGCTTTCAGCCTTGCCTGACAGATGCAGAAGTCCCCAAGATGAGTTTAAGGTTTTAAGATGACCAAAGGCTGGATAGCTCTATCCAAAAAGTGAATTTGATAAGGAATGCAAATATTTTGGGGGTGGGAGTGGGTTATTTCTAAGCTGCTTAACTAAAAAATGTGGACAGCCAGGACCAATTGATAGAAATAATCTCCCCCCACCCCAAACCGGTAAATTTTATATTCACTTTCATTCAAAAACCAACTGCAATGGCTTCCAGATGGGTGAGGGGGTGAAAGCCATACGAGGGTTAGGGATTCCACACCACCTTGGGCTCAACAGGAGCTACACGCCTGCAAAGAAATTCCTCTCCTATCAGTTCCAACACTTACAACTCAATTTTTAACCTGCTAACCTCCCAGAGGACACCCAGCCCCCTTCTCACTAAACTCAATTAATTAATGAACTTAAAGAAAATGATGGGGGCTTCTCAGATAAAGAAAAGTTTAAATTCTGGAGTGAGAGACGTTTGAACACTGACTGACTGAAAGTGTGCTTAACTCTACCTGTAAGGGAGATCCACAAATAAGTTACGGATAAAAATCTAGTTGGGAAATGATGATTTTTAATATTTTTTGATCACCCAGGATATATTATTTTGCAATAAATATGGGTAGTTCCCAGCAGAAGTCTCTTCTTTCACTTCCAAATTTGAAAATAGTCAAAGAAAACACTGAAAAGCTCTTCAGACCAACACTTTCTTTCACTCATACATTCAGGCCACACGGTCTTGCCATACGAGCATGTAGGAAATCGTTTAACTAGTGACTGTCTCTCTTTTCTTCCCAAACAGGCTCAAAGTCAGAAAATGAGATACAAGACTTCTTTGGTGATGAGGAAACGAATGCGGCTTTACCGAAACGCCCTGAAAGAGTCAAGTAAGTTAATATCCTCTTTTGAATATTGGTTTGCTGAAGTTATTTTTTAAGTAGGAAGTTATTTTTGTATGGCTTTTTTTTGGTCTTTTGGTTATGTTGGTTTTGAGTTTCGGGGTGTTTCTTGAATTCCAATGAAACTTAGAACAACACCTTGGTGTTTGATGCATTTGCACACAAATCAGCGATACAACGTCCCACCAGCAGCCAGCTAATCCCCCTCAATGTCTACTCATCTGGACATTCTAGAATTAATATTTGACGACTCTCTCATTGAAACAACCACCCCTGACCTTCTGCATTTCCACTGTCACATTATTCTATGACATATTCATCTTGAATTCATTTCCGGACGATTTGATTGGAATGAGGTTTGACATGTATTGGCTTACATGAAAGGAGCAGACTTTGATCTTGGTGATGGGGTTTACATGATATGCATCATCTTTACCAGGGACACCAGCCTTCCGCAATGTGGCAGCCACGATGTTCCCACAATGTGGTGTCTGAACAGGGAGTGACTGACAGCCGCTCTGTCAGGAATACCTTCATTGTGAAGAATTTAATTTAATATTCCATTTAGAATAAGCATATGATTTAGGGTTGGGTGTTTCCCCTTTCAGGCATCTAGTTTCCCTCATTTCAACTACACCACCAGCTGATGGTTGCCTCCAAGGTATTCCCTTGTTGGTAGGAAATGCAACCTTCTTAATAAAAGTTAAATGGACAACTTAGGAAATGACTCTCTTCTATTATTTTGGGATGATTTGATGGCAAATTCTCTAGAGAGATGTGGTTATTATGTAGATTCCGTTGTTTTAATTCCTCAGTGCTGTTCTGGAAGATCCTTTAACAATGTTTCCTAATCATTTGTCAAATGATGGTTTGCTGGGAAATTAAATTTTATCCAAGCATTTTATCCAAGCATATTTTCTTTCATACATACTTCCATTAATGATGATTAAAGTCCAAACTTCCATAGAAGAGGGGAGGAATATCTTCCTTTATCTTCAAAATCCTGACAGACCCCTTCTCCTCTGTACGATGTGGGCATGGACCTACGGAAGGCTCCTGGGGCTTAAGTTGTTATTTTTTTCTCCCACAAGACTAGAGACAACCTCTCACTTTAGGAATCTTGAATTCTGTCTGTGAATAGCCTACGAAGGGATTTGCCCCCTTGTTTTGGATGGTACCCTGGCCAGAAACAGGGAAAAAAGGATTGAACAAGTGACTGCAGACCTAGATGCACAATATTCAGGCAACAAGGTTTGTGCTTGGCCGGGCTTTGTGCAGTGGCCCTCAGCTTCTGGGATCCTGGCTCGGGCATAAGCTGCAACAGATAATCATCATTTAGCATTGTTGAAAAGATCAAAATGGAAAAAATATCCCAGCTATTGATCTGAAATCTCCCGCATTGTTTTCTTTCCAAGGAAGGGAAGTCAGACATTCCCCCACTTAAGCCAGTGATATGAGGAGCTATAACAGATGGTAAGGCCATCAAATATATTTCTATACAGCAGGACTAGGAAATCACTTCAGTTTATGGTGTTGCTTTGTCACAGCTTGGGTAAACAAAGGTGCTTAGGGCATGATTTCGAGGTCTGGAGGGATGCTTGGAGTCTGGTGGTGGAACTTGCTCCAAATAGGCCCCCATAAAAACCCCCAGTGGTTCTTGAAACTCTGCTGAAGATCTCTGAGCTGCAAATGTATCTTTTTCTTTTCTGCAAATCAAGCAGAAATGTGGACTCAACAATGCTATAACCCCCAGCATGGTTAGGAATAGAATGCTTCAGCCAAACATTTAGTATTAGGGGTAAGTGTGGTGAGATAACTTTTGAAAGAAAAATTCTGAGCACCACTGAGGGACACCACTACTTAGCCTGCCCAATGAATAGTCAATGAAATCTGGAATCCTTGCTACCTGGGCACTGGAAGACTCAAAGGAACGGCCCTGAAAGCTAAAATATGCCTCACTGACATCGGTGCCCCATCTGACATCTGTGATTAGCTGGATACTGCTTTGGGGCTTATTTCAGAGACACGGCTAGAAGACCCTCATGTAATCACCCAAAGGTCCCTGTTTATAAATATTAGTGAGTAAAATGGCTTTTTTTCCTCCCTATCTCTGTCCCTGAGGAAATGTCCCTCTGGGAGAATGTTTGGTCCCATTGCTGTGTTCAGCCAACCAAGGTGTGAACCACGTGGCTCCAAGGCACTTGCAAAGATTAGGCAACCTTAGTGACCTTAGGTCAACTGACCCCTGACTATTCAAGAAGCATCTACCCAGGATGGGTCCAGATGTTTTCAGTGCTTCAAAAGAAGTCTGCATCTGGGAAGGAGCTCCATGGGGCCAGGTTACTGTCGGTGAATTTGGCTGAATCAGATGTATCTGCCCTTTCACTGTTGGCACAAAAAGCCATACACATGTTCAAAGCTTTTCAAGGGTAAACTTATCAAGAGAGACTGTGTAGTGCAGTAACAGTCTATTGTATATAACTTCTGCTTCTTATCCCTGGAGTCTGTGGACTCAGTGCTTAGAATTCGGGGTGGGGGGGTCCCACAAATTTGGATGGGGAAAAAACGCATCTTTATTTTCGCCACCTTCTAATGGAATGTTATAGCTTCTTCTATTATGAGTGTGGGCAAAAGGCACAGGATTATTAAAGTTCACTAGCTTCGCCAGGTTTCCAAAAGGGTCCACAACCTAAAACAACTTGAATACTCCTGTTCTGTACTGTTATTCAAAGCTTTTGATGCGGGTGTGGTCACGGTGTATATATTAAGTGGTTCGTTTTTGTGCAAGTCAGAGTTTTAATGGAAGCCAAATCAGATGGTTAGTTTGACAAACATCCTGAACAGTAGGTTGTAGATTGCCAACTTTCGGATGGGAAAGAAAATATTTTCACTGTTGGCCTACTGCATCAGTGCCCCTGCACTTAGGCCTCAATGCTGCTGGAGGAGCTGACTAAGTTCTGTGTTGATGAATGGTTAGGAGAAAGTGCTGGGCAAGGGGTCCCAAAGAGGAATATGCTGGTTTGGTTTTTTGTTTTGGTCTTTGTTGTTTTCAGAACCCTTCATGGGTTTGCCTAGACAACTGTATCATTCAAAAGACACCTGCGTGGTGAGAAGCCTTGAAACCAGCGCTTTGAGGAAGGGAAAACAGGGCAGGAAAACAGAGAGGAGGCACTTGTGGGCAAAAGGGATAAACCCCAGAAAGCGAGAGTGTGGGAGAGGGTGAAAGCCAAGAAAGGAGACAAATCCTCCAAGTCTAGTCTCAACACTGCTGTGTGGAAGCCCTTGGTTTCCAGATCAGAAGGGCTTCAGCTGTCAAATGCTCTCCTTCAACTTTTTTTTTTTTTTTTTAATGCTAACTCAGCATCTATTGGTAGCTTGCTTAAGCTCTTCCGGCCGGAGGAGCAAAAAGACCTGGACTTGTCAAAGCCGAGGAAAATTGTTGTGGAAGTTAATCCCTCGCTAAATTGCGGCACTGAGCCAGGAACAATGCATTAAATGAAGAAAGGCTCAAAGAATCTGCCAACCATTATAAATAAGTTAATTATTTTTAAAAATGTAAAAGAAACCGTTATTTACTGACCAGGAAATGTTTAAGAATAGTTCTTGGTGCTGGAGATAGCTGAGGCAGCTCAATCAACTTCATCAGAGTTCCTTGTAATTTGTCCAAACTTCTCACCTCTGCTAGGGGAGCGGGGTGTTTTACTCAATCCTTCAAACTTCTCTTAAAAACCCAAGTCTTTCATTGCTTTGAGGGCGCTTTCTATGGCTGCCGGGGAGCCCCGAGAGAACTTAGGTTGGCATTTTCGGCTACTGAGTGCAACGCAGGCTTGAGGGCCAGCAGCACTTTAAATCGCCGGGCGATGCAGCCGGCCCCAGTCGGTCGGCACAAACAAAGGACACTCCCCCCTGTTTATGCCACACTCGGCCGGTCCAGAACTGAGGGTTTCTTCCACCGGCCGATCCCCACCCCAAGACAGAGGAACCCGCAGCCCGGGAGGGCATCCCGCGAGAGGAGGCCGTGGCCCGAGGTCGCTCTCACAGCCTGGGTCGGGAAACGTGGCCTCGGCTCTAGGCAAGCGAGTAGAGTCAGCGACGCCGGCCGCGGGCAACAAGTGGCCAGAGGGAGCTCAAAGTGGAAACGATTCTTAAGTTCCCTTTTCCAAAGGCTCCGCCCGGCGGCAGGGTACCGAGCTCAGGACCGCAATTTGATAGCGGGAGAGAGACCTGGGGTGAGGACCCGCTCCGCCTCGCTGCGCTCCCCTCGCCTTTATTTCTTTGGCCCGTCGCCCGCTGGTCGGTGTGATTTGCGGCGGGAAGGATTCTTAGGCCCTCTTGGGAGGGCGGTGTGGGTTCGAAGCTAGCCTCTCCCAGGTCATCACCATCTCCGGCCCAGTCCTGGGGCTCGGCTCAGGGCCAGATTCTTGGGTCCGCCAGTCTCTAGGCGCTCCAGGTACCCGGGAGGAGGGGCCGGCAAGGCTAAGTGGGAAGAATGGAGTGGGGAGAAGACAGAGGGGGAGGGGAGAAGAAAGGATCCAAGTAGGAAGGCGAAGTGTGCTCAGGGGTTTCGTGGAACTGAGAGCGAGAGCTAGAGAAAGAACGAGAGCGAGAAAGCTGAGCGACGCGAGAAAATTTGGAAAAGCGAGAAAACAAAATTAGGCGCAAGGGCTGTTAGCCTAGGATCGGCCCCGCTCCCGGCCTCCTAGTCTGCAGCAGCCTTTCCTCCCTGGATCCCGGCCCTCGCCTCCTCCCGACTCCCGGGACAAGCTGCCGAAGCAGGCCGCAGTCCCCGCGCTCCGGGTGCTGTCCATCGGCCCCAGCAGGGCTGGGGGGTCCGGTCTGCCCGGAAGGACTTTACGTGCAACGCAACGACCCCTCCCCAAAGCCGTGGGGAATGGAGGCATAACCCAGCCCCGCTCACTTCCAAGAGCGGCGAGGCAGAGCAGATCTGCCCAGCTTTCGGGGAGAGAAGGGGGAGGGGGCTCACGAGTAGAGAAAAGAATCCGCGCCCGGGTCAGAGCGCATGAGCAGTAGAATCGCGAGCTGGGGGCTGGGGAGGGGAACGGGAGCCGTGTGACTGTGTGTGTGTGAGTGTGTGTGTGTGTGTGTGTGTGTGTGAGAGAGAGAGAGAGAGAGAGAGAGAGAGAGAGAGAGAGAGTGAGAGAGTGTCCCTGTGCAGAGGGACCTGTCATCGCTGACGTCGGACCGGGACGCGGGCCAATGGGCGACTTAGGCGATTGTTCCTCTCGGCGGGCCCGGGCCACGGCCCCGAATCTCTATTCACTATCTCACGCGCCCCGCTGCTGCCTCTGTAGTGTACAGGATTTCAAGTAGGCATTAAAGACTGATAGAGAGGAAGAAAAAAAAGTCACAACCCAAAACTTGAGGTGGGGGGGAACTTTGCAGAAGTTGTCTATGGCTGGTCTTTCCCCTCCCCGCTGTCAGGTGACGGTGGCGTGAGCGCCCCGACCTAAGGAGCTCCGGGGAGTCCCGGCCGGGAGGCAGCAGGCCTCCCTCTCCCAGCCGAGCTGGGCGCTGAAATTCGTATATATGGCCGGGGCTCTTGGGCACCACCACCACCTACAACATCACCACTTCCCCCACCTCCACTGCCCCGCAGGGCGCCGCGGCCCCGAGGGCCTTGGGGAGTTGGCCGCCAAAGCGCGCTCGGAGCGCCAGTCGGACCCCTTTGGAGCAGAGCCCAGGGGCACCCAGCAACCCACAGCCTCAGCATTGCGCACCCCACTACCCCTTCCACCCATCCCGCCGCCACCATCACTCTCCTGCTCATGAAGCGACAGGGGGCTCTACCGAACAGCCGCCCAGCCGGACCGCGGTGGAGGCGCTTGGCCTCGCGTTGTCCGCACGGATCGCAGCCGCCGCAGTCTGGCTTTCGGTGCCGGCGTTGACCGCCGAGGCCGTGGTGTGGCTGGGCTGGGCCTGCCCCCTGGGGCCGGGTAGGACGCTCAGCCCTCGCCACCCGTTCTCACTCGCGCTATTTGTCTCAACAACAGGTAGCAGCTCCGGACACCATGGCCCCCAGCTCGCTGCCGCCTCCAGCCCCTCGGTGTTACCGGGCTTTCACGAGCAGCCTCCCCAGGCCTCCCCTAGCTGCACTTTGAACGGACTCCTGCGTCTGGGGCTCCCCGGAGACATGTACGCACGACCCGAACCCTTCCCGCCGGGACCTGTGGCCCGCAGCGACGCCCTGGCAGCTGCCGCAGCCCTGCACAACTACGGGGGCATGAACCTGACCATGAACCTCGCCGCACCCCACGGTCCCGGCGCCTTCTTCCGCTACATGCGCCAGCCCATCAAACAGGAGCTCATCTGCAAGTGGCTGGCGGCCGACGGCCCCGCACCCCCGCGCCTCTGCTCCAAAACTTTCAGCACCATGCACGAGCTGGTCACGCACGTCACCGTGGAGCACGTCGGAGGCCCTGAGCAGAGTAACCACATCTGCTTCTGGGAGGAGTGTCCGCGCCAGGGCAAGCCCTTTAAAGCCAAATACAAACTTGTAAATCACATCCGCGTGCACACGGGCGAGAAGCCCTTCCCTTGTCCTTTCCCGGGGTGTGGCAAAGTCTTTGCTAGATCAGAAAATCTCAAAATACACAAAAGAACTCACACAGGTCAGTATTCGCCACTGTCTGTCTCGTTCGGACCCTCTGGGGAGGCAGGGGGCCTCTTCTGGGCCCTCGGAGCTGGATTTCCTCAGGTTCCACCTGGGCGGGGAGGGGGGATATTTTGGTGTTTCCATGAGCCAAGTTCATAAAATATTAATTATGCCCTTCAATTAGAATCACAGAAGTTTCCTGAGGCTGTGTGTGGGAAGGATAGTATGAGATTTCTGCTCTGGGGGTTGGGAAGGGGATGCTCGGGTTTCTGTGTGTGCAAATGTGTGGTCCCTGCTTACGGAGTTTGATTTTAAGGTATTTTAAAGGGCACTGTTCCCCAAAGTTGTAAAGACATAGGAACAATTTAATTTTTCCCTGTCCCTTTGGAATTGTGTGAGGCACACTCTTCCAATAGTCAGCCTGACAACCTGACTGCCACCTGAATGGAGAGCGCACCAGGCCCTTAGTAGTGACTTCTTTAGGATTTGAGGGTCTCATGGGCTAATTTTGCCCCTGTTTTGGAGCCTTGGTGACCCACACTCGGGACATTTCACAAACCCTCCCTTTTGCTTTAGCAGAGACCCAAGGAGACTCATTCACCTTAAATGTCATTTACTGAGCTGTTAAGTGAAATGGGGACATGTGTCAACCACATCTGTTACTTCTAGTTAACAGAAAGAAAAGGAGCCCTCTCAAAAGCCTGCAAAGTTGAACTCCTCTGGCCAGAAACATCTCTAATTAATGCAATTGCAAGGAGAAAGTTTTCACACTTCCCAGAACAGCCTGTGAAGTTACATTAATTAGTTTAGCAGCCGGATGTTTGTATTCTTCTTAGCTAGGATTTTCTTGCCCTGGCTTCCTCAAAGTTTAAGAAGTCAACATCTCCCCTCCTCCAACATCACCACTTCCCCCACGCGACCACGGGGGAGACAGAGGGGATGAAATAAGTTCCAGCTTGGTGCCCCACTTCTACTCCCTGGCACTCTGCCTTACGCACGTCTGTTCTTGGTGAAAACATCAGCAATTATTAGAGTCAAAGAACTCACCCAGGTTGGCACTACCCGGGAAAGAAGATTGCTAAATCCCACCTTCTCCCCCCAAACCCTTCAGTCTTGGGGAAGGTGCCTGGCCAGGACATTGGCACCCTCAGAGGCCAGATTAAAGTCCACTTTTAAGTCTCCTACTTTATTTTGGAAATGTATACTTTTTCTGAGCTGTTTCCAGGATTCCCCCCCACACACACACACACACAACCTCTCGCAAGCATTTGTCCCCCCCACTCCTCCCTGCCTCCGATTTTTATCCAGGGGAAGGAGAGAAGTGAGACCCCGATCGCCGCCCTCAGGCTCCCTATTCATTGAGCTGGCGGCCCGCACCACGAAGGTAGACTCGAGGTCCCGAGCCAGAGTAGGAACTCATTTTTAATGACAGGGGGGTTTTAAACAAACTTTTACTGCTCTTTGTCGGCCTACTGTTTGAAGTCCGTGAAGCAGAAAATGGTTAAATTCTCAGTGCAATGGACCTACAGCAGAGAATCAAGTTCAGTGCGCCCGAGCTGGCTCAGGTTTGCGTCTATTCAGAACAGAATTCTAAGTGCATCCTTTCCCTTTCCACTGGCAGTCCTGATTCATTATCACCGGAGTTAAAAAAAATCTACGGAGCCTCTCCTGCTCGGGCGTTTCCCTCAAACTCTCCTAAGTAATGAAAAGAGGAGAAAACAACAACAGCAAAATGTTTCTCAAATCGCAATAGACCTCACTGCAAATTATTCATGAAGACGGTTCTCGATTCAACAGGAAAATAATTGCCTTTTCAAATATTAATGGCGTTTCATTTCCTCGAGTCGCGGAAGCGGCGAATAGGCTGCTTTCTCAGGAGTTGAGATTTTCCGGGATCTGAATCCCGGGCCTGGCTTCGGAGGCAGCGGCTCCGATCCCACTCCGAAAGCTTTCGCTTTGCGGCGGTCACAGAAATCCCGGAACAATGGTGCCGCCGCGAGGGAGACGCGGGCCTGCCGCCTTTCCCGGGACCCGTGTGTTGCGGGCTCACCCCGCTCTCCCAGGCAGTCGGTAGAGGGAGGTAGGGTTGGGATCCGAGTCAGAGGAGAAGAGACAGCGCCGGGGCGGAATACTCGCACAGCCCGGCCCAGCCACAAGTGCGAGAAAATGGCGCGAGTCGAACCGCCCCGCCACTGCCAACTTTGTCGGGCGGGCCTGGCGCCGGGCCGGGTCAGAGGCCTCTCGCGGCTGCTGAGGCTCTAGGAGGAGGCTCTGGGCCTTTCAGGACTCAGCCTCAGGCCCAGGCTACTCAGGGCGGGCTGCGGGGTCCCGGCCCAACCCTGCTTCTCCACATCCATCCACCCACCCACCCACCCACCTAGGGCTCAGCGCCCAGATCTGGTGGGAGGGAGAGGGCGGGAGGCTGCGTGTTGGGTGGGGCGGGGGTTGCGCAGAGTTAGGCGAGGAGTCCGGGGCTCCTCCCGCTGCTGGGGAGAGGCCGGGAGGGCGCGGGGGCGCGGCCTCACCTGGCCTCCCAGGGGCCTTGGAACTTCCAGGCTGCCCATATCACCTTCAGTGCCCTGCTTTTTTCGCCTCAGTACCTCGTCTGGAACGAAATCATTGTTTCTGTTTCACATGAATGTCCAACAAGGCGGTCACAAGATGGGATACGTGTGTGGGGGGGGGAATACTTGGGGGGTGGCAATCAACCTCAAATTCTATTTCTCCTCTGTTGTCTTAGCAGATCTTGATTTCTTTTGCAGGTCCTGAATTACATGATTCTTGTAAGTGATTTGAGAAAGAAAAGACAGAAGGAAGGGAGGAAGAAAAGTTTTAGTTTTGCAGATGCTAACAGGGATCAGAGGGTAGAAAACGAGGGGCACATAGGGACATAGGGTTTATTGTGCATCTTTCTATTTTTCTAAATAAAACTGTACCGGTGTGCCGAGAAACGGCAGATGCCAGCACTGTCCAGTGTTCCACTGCACTAACGATACTCCTGCAGCGGGAGGACGCAGCGGCCGCGCAGTGCAGGAGCCCTGGGCTTCTAACCCGCTGCCGTGCGGAGGCGAGGGTTGTGCGCAAACCTCTGGCTCTACCTAAGCCTCAAGAGGACTCGGGAGTAGGGGCTTTGTTTATTCAAACCTGCCCCAAAGCACCCATCTTTCCTGGAAGCGGCGGGAGAAGCAACCCCAAAGGCAACATTCCACCAGCCGGGCATCTCTCCCTCCTTAGCCAGACGCTTGGTAGTCTCTCCCTCAACCCAGGGCGCCCGGCAGCATCCATTTGTTGCAGCACCCGGACATTTCTTTCCCTCCTTCGTTTAGCATCTGCAGCTCCAGAGGAACCTGGGCTTCCGGGTTCTTGGGGTCCTTTCCTCCCCCACACGCTAGCAAATCGAGCTGGCGGTGAGCTCCCGGATTGGGACTCTGTCCCCGGCCAATGTTTCCACCCTAGCGCGCGCTCGCGCCTTCCCGCGGCTCTACAGGGCATCACACCACTCATCAGAGCCCCTCCCGGGCCTACCCCGGCTGCCCGCTTGCCCTCCGGTCCGCGGAGCCAGGCCTCGCCTGATCGCAGCAGCTGCGCTCATCCTGAAGCCACCGCGACCACGGGTGCGATCGAGGGAATGGCCCCGGATCCCGCTTGGCCCGGGCAGAACCTGCCTTGCCGGTTTCTCGGCTCAGGCTGGGGAGACCGGACCGTGGGCCATGGGTGGTCTAGGGAGGCCGCCCGACCTCTCACAGTCAGTTCGGACTGGGAGAGCCGGCTCTCCGTGGCGGAGTCTCCGGGAAGCCGCTGGAGCAGTGTAATAAAATATTATTGCCGGCGCGAATATCTGGAGGGATCCCGGACGGTTTAGGCAAGATTTGAAGAATGCTACTAAATGTTTGCCCTCAGGGGGTAGAGGGGAAGGGGGAGGGGGCTCCAGTCCCCGTAAAAATCGCGTCTGAAGTGAATTGCTCAGAGTACCTTTCCCTGCAGCACGAATGCACATCATGCACATGCCGTGTGCATCGGCTGCGCATCCTGAAATTATTCCATCGCTTTGGCGTTTGCACAAAACCTACTTTAAGAAACAGTTTGGGCCAGGATGTGTTTGGGGTGGACCGCTGGGCGGGGAGTGGGGAGCAAAGGCATTTGGCTGGAACAGCAATTTTGAGCAGATGCGAGCTCCTCAGTCAACTCTATTCTCCGGGCAAAGGTGCTTCTGGCTCCAGGTGGAGAAAATCTGGAGGAAAACAATCGGAGTGGATCAGGATTTTCCAGGAAGGAAACTCGACTAAGATGGAGTCTTTGTTTCTCCTGCTCCGTCCCCTCCCCCCAGGTCCCGGCGGGAGAAGGGGAGGGGGGGAGGCGTGCAGGAGGGAGCTCAGGGGGCGCGCTCCGAGCGGGGAAAGGGGGTGCCGGGCTTGCGGCGCCGGGGAAAGAGGTTTCTGAGTTTTTTGGTGGCTCTCTTCCCAAAAATGGCAGAGAAATTGGGGTAGGGTAGTGAGGCCGAGCCGGGGCTACAGCCCACGCGCACTAATGTCTCTGCGTTGCCTCCACCAGGGGAGAAGCCCTTCAGGTGCGAGTTCGAGGGCTGCGAGCGGCGCTTCGCCAACAGCAGCGACCGCAAGAAGCACTCGCACGTGCACACGAGTGACAAGCCCTACACGTGCAAAGTGCGCGGCTGCGACAAGTGCTACACGCACCCCAGCTCGCTGCGTAAGCACATGAAGGTGCACGGGCGCTCGCCGCCGCCGCCCAGCTCTGGCTACGACTCGGCCACACCGTCTGCCCTCGTGTCGCCCTCGTCGGACTTCGGCCGCGAGCCCCCGGTGGCCTCCTCGGCGGCGGTGGCGGCGCGTAGCGCCGACCTGAGCGAGTGGTACGTGTGTCAGGGCGCGGGCCCCGCCCCCGCTGCCCCCGCAGCGCCCCCAAGCCCCGCGCGGCCACCTGGCCCCGCCGCCGCCTTCGGTACCAGGGTTGCTGTTGTGGTTGCTGCTTCCGCGTACCCTGACTGCCAGGTCTAGGCCGGGTTATTGAGGCTTGAAGAGAGAGTGAGGAAGGAAGCAGGGAAGGGAGGAAGGTCACCACTAATAGTTGTTAGAGCTCAATGAATATGCTGATATAATGTCCATTGTCTTAAAATATCAATATGGTACCCATATGGATTCTACAGTCACATCCAGCACCACCACCCCCAGACGCCCTCATGACTGGGTAGCTTGAAACCAGGGTTGGGGTAAAGAAAATAGAGAAAGAGACAGGCAGAAGGTAAACAAGAAAACATATTAGGAGAGTTTCTGTGCAATCTTGGCTACTGCAGTCGGCAAAAGTAACACCGCAAAGTCCCTGTGTGGTTCACAGAATGGGAAATGTTTTCCTCGAGGCCTGGGCCTCCCGGATAGCCACAACTACTCCGTTCCCAGCTCCCAGTCGGAGCCTCCTCGGAAGTTCCTGTGGTGGGAAGGTGGCAGAGGGAATTCCTGAGCCGTTGTCTTCCTTCCTCTTTCCTTCCTCTTTTGCCTCCCTACACTTCCCCTCCCCCAGCTATTTAAATCCCAGATGCAAAATTTTCCAACCGCTTCAATAAAGGAGATGATAGGGAAGAGGGGGGAGGTTCAGCATCTTCCTTAGGGATTTTATGCCCCTCCCCCAGAGACTGGCCCAAGCACACAGAGACATCTGGCTGCCTGTCTGTCTGATCTGTATGCATTATATACTGGGGGTAAGAGGGGAGTCCAAACAGCAGGAATTACAGACAAAAGAGCGGTAAAGGGGCTTTAAGATTCAATGCTCTGGGGCCTCCTCAGAACAATCACCCTCTCCTCACACCCCACAATTGTTGAGGAGCTGCCTGTGGAATCTTTTGGGTGCTTGGCATTGGGGGTGCAGAATGGGCCAATGATGTCACTGAGGCCAGACCCCCACAGCAAAGGGATCCAGCTTAGGCTACAGTGTCTGGATGAATCACGTCAATTCTGTGATGGTCTTTGTCAAAAATCGCACAATGTTGGTCTTAGTTTTAAATTTTAAAAAGGCGGGGGTGGGGGAGGGGAACAAGAGATGAACTGCAATAATAAATGTTTTAAAGGCAAACACCCAATGGGTCTAGATTGAATGTGTATGTGATATGCTGGGTACCAAATCCCCTGAAAAGGAACCAGATGTTGGGGGCAGGGAAGAGAAAAAATCTGTGCAATTGTTGCCAAGGGGGGAAAAAAATCAGGGCCTGGTTCCCAGTCTGTCACCCTCTGCAGGGAGGATGGTGCTGCTTCAAATTCTTGCTAAGATTTGGGGTGGGGGGAAACGTGAATAAAACGGAGGGGAGAAAAGTTTTGGTAGACCCATCCCACTCCCCTAAGAATTTGGAGATAAGTAGGGGTGTGGTACTCCTACCTAGGGGAAGCCCCCAAAGAGCTCAATTTAAAAAGCTGAGCCCAGCAAACAAGCCCTGATTCTGCCACTCTGCTGGATTTTCTTCTGCTCTTTCCTCTTCAGACACCATTCGAAGATTCTCACTCCTGCCCTGTGGCCGCACACTTCCATCAGATAAATAACGTCCTAACTGGAGAGGCACTGTTTTCATTACTCCTAATAAAAACCAGAATCTTCCAAATACATCCTTAGTGAATCCGTCCTTGTGGAAGGGTGTCTGCAATCCCCTTCCCGCCCCGCCGCCACTACAATAGGGCCCAGAGGTCTCCTAGCCAAGGGCCCACGATCGGCAGCAAACAGCTCTTTCCCATCGGGAAACACCCGCCCCACCGCCAAGGTGCAGAGGGCATCTGGGGAACTTGCTTCTGAAGATGTTAAAAAAATTTCCCCCTCTCCAAACAGGACTCCTTTCTTTCTCTTCTATTTCTAGGCCCCATTTTGCCTCCCACCCCCATCCAAAATAATGAAATAAAATAAAAATGCGTAGTCGGTCACTAATCGCCTTTAATTTTTCATTTGCTTGTTACAGATGTCCACCGCGTTGCTCGCAAGGTAATCTCGCCCTGCGCAGCTGAGCGCCCGCATCTTGCGCCTGCGACATCAAAGGGCCCGCGCACAAAGCAATGTTTCTTCGCCACGGTGCATCTTCATGGTAAGTTAGGATTTCTATGGCAATGGGCAAGTCGCACTGAAATCCTGAAAGGCCGAGCCTGGAGCCCGTCCAGGCTTTTCATTAAGGACATAATATTTACGTCTAACAGGCCTTTTTTCTTGTGTATACAAGTATATATTTTTGTTTGACGCGGACTAAATCATTTTCATTTAATTTCCGGTAAACAAAACCCACGCGAATGGGCACTTGTTCCCGATCATAATAAAAATGGATAATAATGTGAGGGAAGAAAAGGGCCGCTTGAATCGCCGCTCAGCTCCCTTTGTTTCTGCTTTCTGCGGTGATCAGAGGGCGCATTTGGGTTTGATGGCGAGTTTCTAAAGGCGAGGAAATGGTTTGTAAGAGGGGAAAGAAAAGGAGAAAGGTCTAATCAAGCTCGGGTTTTTCAAAGAGTCGGGTTTTGGGGTTGAAAGTGTGAGTTTGACGGTGCATCAGCATGCCGCGTTAGGCTCGCCATGGAAATGCGCGCGGGGAGCGGCCGCTTCAAAGGCGGCACACTTCACTGCAGACACTCTATTAAGATACATTTGCGCTGACCTTTGCTTTCACGCCATTTAATACTGTCACTGTGCTCTCCAGTATATACTTCCTCCTTAGGACCTGCCTCGTCAGCGTTTAGGGGTTCACCTGGCACTCCGATGGGGGCGGGGGAGGGGCGCTTTGGCAGCAGGGAAGCTTTCAGGAAAGGGAGGAGACAGACTCGTGCATCTTGACTGCGCCCCAAAGAGGCTCCAGGGTCAGAAGTAAATAACTTTAGGACGAGCTCAGAAGCTTAACAAATGAGCATCCCCAGCTCGGTTTTGTGCCAAGTGCCTCTCAGCGTCTTGAGCATGTTGGAGGCTTGAATTTCAATGGGACTTGGGGGAAGGAAAGGAGCCACCCGGGATGAGCCTGGGGAGTTCAGACTGTGCCTTTGGGACATTTTCACTCTGGCCCCCAGTCCAGCCCATTCTGCCCCTCTATCCCGGAAGTTTCTCACAGACCCCCAAACTTGTTTCTCCACAGGGTGGGGTGTATGGTACCCCTCAGGCCTGCTCTGGCCCTGGGCACAGACTCCAGAGCCCAAGGCCAAGGGGATAGGGAAGATGGCAGGAAAGTTAGAAGTCCATGTTCCCTTAATTGTCTTGTTGTTTATTTTATCCAAGTACCCCAGTGAATAGGGGAAAAATAAACACGGTGGAAAAAAAATCAAACAGTGGAGTCTTCTTTAGTGCCAGTCCTTGTGGTTGAATAAAAAGGATGGTCCGCTTTCTATTGAGCTGAGAAATCTTTGAAGTGGGAGTTATTATCTGAGACATTCCTGC